TCTATTGAATGGTTTGCTTTTGGTCGAGTGGGGATTGATGCTTGAGCACCAAGCTTGGAGAGCGACGTCCGCTTTTGTTGAGCGGGGGTTGATGATTGAGCAAAAGAGAATTCTTCCGCGCTCGGACAGTGACGTCCGCTTTAATAAATAAACAAAAAAAAAGTAGTCGGAAGTGAGCCAAATAATTAAGTTTAAGTTTACTAATTACTGTTAACTTATGCATCTTAAGTTTAAGTTATTGTTAAGTGTAAACTAACTTAAATAGATATTTAAGAAGTCTTTAGACTCTTTACCTTGTTACAGAGATCGGGGGAGCTCGGAGATCGAAGATGAGGTGGGGAGGCTGCGACTGAACTTCTGGTGCTCTGAGATCGATGGAGGTGACTGTAGGCGTCAAAAATTGCCTATAGGTCTCCGCACACGGCTCAAGACAGAGAGAAGATGATGAACATCACTATCCGAGTCACAGGAGCTCATTTGACGACGACAAACGCACGAAGTGAGTCGACGGACCATGCGAAACGACGGAACTTCAGAATGATGGAAACACGAGTTTATCGGGAACCCCACATCGCTTGCAAAAGGCAAAGTGCCTCTCATGTCTTGTCCACTTCACATATTATTCAATCATGGGATCTTGTAGATCTTCTCAACGGCTTTCCGACGCATCTTGAATCGTATGATTCCGAGTTCGGACGACGAAGATACGACGAAAACAGACGGAACGCGCAGGACTACGTCCCAGGCCTCGACGAGACACCCAGAGGTGTCTCGGCCAACCCGAGACACCCAAAGGTGTCTCGGCCAACCCGACACCCAAAGGTGTCTCGGCTTGGCCAAGACACTCTAAGGTGTCTCAGCCAAGCCGAGACACCCAGAGGTGTCTCGGATGGTCCGAGACACCCATTGGTGTCTCGGATTGGCCGAGACACCCATTGGTGTCTCGGCCAAGCCGAGACACTCAAAGGTGTCTTAGAACTTATAAAGCGATTTTGGTTATGTTCTGATTCGAATATGAAGAAACTTAAAACATGACAATTGTAGATATCCTCGTTATCTTTCCAATGCATCTTGGATCAGGTCATATGGAGGTCATATGAGGAAGTTATGACCAAAATACCCGAGATACTCATTGGTGTCTCGGCCATGGCCGAGACACTTACAAGTGTCTCGGACCTTGTAAAGCTGTTTTTACCATGATTAGATTCGAATCTGAAGAAACTCAAAACATGAAAGTTGTATATCTCCTCGTTATCTTTCCAATGCATCTTGGATCAGGTCATTTAGAGGTCATATGAGGAAGTTATGACCAAAATACCCGAGACACTCATTGGTGTCTCGGCCATGGCCGAGACACTCACAAGTGTCTCGGACCTTGTAGAGCGGTTTTGACCATGATTAGATTCTAATCTGAAGAATCTTAAAAGATAAAAGTTGTATATCTTTTCGTTATCTTTTCAACACAACTTGAATCACCTCATTCGGAGGTCAGATGAAAGAATTAGAGGGAAAATACTGAAGATGGTACAAACTATCTCGCACATGTGTGAGACACCCCGAACTGTCTCGCACTCGAGACATGTGTTTGACGGTTTTTGATCAGTTTTGACGGTTTTACAGCCTCCCTAACTGCCTTGGTGTTATCTTTAAATGTGATAAAGTGGTTATAACTGAAGATAAGAGGGAATCAACCGTTCCTATCCAAACACAGGGCTCCTGAAGCCTATAAATACAGCCCAGTGCCTTCATTTTTTGGGATCTGGAATTCTCGAGCGTTGGCGAAGCCCTACCGAATTGAGGAGTGAAGAGCCACGAATTTCAGAGAGGAGGAGGAGACTTCAGTGAATTCTTCGTCATAAAGAAGAGGAGTTCGTCAGATCTGCAGCCCGGTCGTCCCTTAATATTACCCCGTTGCGGTAATCTTAAGAAGAGCAATTATCCCACTGTTGCCGAGATAAGCGCTATGGTTTCTTGATTCCTTTACGAATCAATGAAGCTCTGCCTAATTTTTCAGCAATCAGATCTGATTGACGGTGGTCCACGGATATCAACATCCCTGTCACAAGACAAGATCCCACGCAAGCAGCGGGCGATAAACACCCGTTGCGTTTGTTTGAAGAGAGTTGTATTTTTTTATTTTTTTATTGTATAAGAAAGTCTTATAAAAAGACTAATTTTACTTTGAATCTGTAATCGATAAACGTGTAATGGATTCAGCAATGAAGAAATCAACTTTTACCGCAAACAGTAACTTCGAGAGGTTTTGACGGAGGTCGGGGAACCTTCGACGGGGCTTCGAGAGGCGTCGACAAGGGTTGAGGAAGTTTCGACGGGGTTAGGGAAGCTTCGACGAGGTCAAGGAAGCTTCGACGAGGAACAAGGTTTTGGTAGCGATAGATTTTCGTGACGGCGTCGGGAGAGTAATGAGAATTAGGGTTATCAGTTAAGTTGGGTTTGGGTTTGTGTTTGGGTTTAGGTTTGGGTTTGTTTATTTTCAGCACCTATTTGGTTTTTTTTAAAATTGTTAGGCGAACCCGTCTTAAGCGGCCTGCTTAGCTCTGGGCCCGTCCGTGTAGCGCTCCCTAACGCTCCTGAAACAGCGCCGCTCAGGGCGTTTCAAGATGCCCTGAGCACCGCATTTGCCTAGGCGGGCGCCTAGGCGGCCGCCCAGGGTGTTTTTTAAAACACTTACTCAGCCCATTCGATAATCTGAATGACTAAATTATTAACCCGTTAAATAAGCTTTATTTTAGCCCTTATAATCAGTTTTAGTGTTTGGTAATAACAATAATTGTGACTATTTTTTTATAATTAGAAGTGTTAACTCTTAATCCTTCTAAATATAAGTATTAGTAAACCCCTCATTTTGACGGGTTAACTCATTTTAATCCCTCAGAGGGGTTAGCTTAACCATTCTATATTTTTTTATGTTTGGTAAATTATAGAGAGTTAACTCACTTTAATTCTTGTATAGATTTTTTGTGTTTGGCGGGTTAAGAAGGGGTTAAGTCTCCTTAACCCCTCGCTTAACCCTTTGCCAAACGGTACCAAAGAGATTAATTTTGCAAAATGACTAACAAACCCTTTACAACTACTAACATTAGGTAACTGCTCATTCAGAGGGGTTAATAAATACTTTAGAGTTACTCACTCTGGAAACAAGAAATTAAACTTGGGTGGCGTTTGGCAAAGGGTTAAGTGAGGGTTTAAGGACACTTAACCCCTTCTTAACCCACTAAACACAAAAAAAACTATAGAAGGGTTAAAATGAGTTAACCCTCCATAATTTGTCAAACAAAATAAATGCAACAGGATTAAGCTAACCCCTCCAGAAGGATTAAAATGAGTTAACCCCTCAAAATGATGAGTTTATTGATACTCCTATTTAGAAGAATTAAGAGTTAAATCAGCTAATTAAAAAAAGTCAAAATCTTTGTTATTCTCAAATATTAAAAATGATCATATGGGCTAAGATAAAACTTATATAACGGGTTAATAATTCAGTCCTTCAAATTATCGAATGGGCCAACTATGTTAATCTTTTTCCTTAATCCATCTTCCTTAACCCTTTGCCAAAGGGGGCCTAAAAAGAATATGATTTAGGAGATTTATGGCAGTTAACCTCCTTAACCCTTGTTTATTTGCCAAGCACTAAAAACTTAACCCTTCATTTTGACTATCAAATCTAAACGGAATTAAATTATTTTAACCTCTTGTGAGGGGTTAGCTAAGTTAGTCATTCCCTTTAACCCTTCTTCCTTAATCCCAAACAACACTAGCTATTAGTTTATGTTGGATTCAGTAGTTATTTAATAGTAAATGAATACTTTTTATTATTTAGTTGATAAATGAATAAAATGCATATCTAATTCAATTGATTATTAAATATTTGTTTATGTTTTTATATTTAGTAATTGTTGTTAACATTGTAATTAGTTTAAATTGAGGTGTAATTTTGAATGACTGAAGCAATTTAGAGAAGAAATCAACAATTATGGTGCTTCAAAGTATAGATTTATATAGATGGTGTATATGCAAAAATCTCCAAACAAATTTGAAAAAACCAAAAAAAAACTAAAAAAAAAAACAAAAAACAAAATTGTGCCTTCCTAAGAACATCAGCTTAGGAAGGAAAACCCCTTGGGCAAGCGGGCTAAAATATGGATGAATCTAATATGAACATTGTTGTAGTATTCAGCCTGAGTTCGACTTCAAATATTGTATTATTTATTTTATTCAATTCGGTTGTTTTCCACTCATATTCCCAAATATGCAACCATTAAATTATAAAATTCCTTTATTATATTACTATACAGAACAAATTTGTGGGTCCTTTTGTGCATTTGCATTATCAAGAAACTTTTCATTCTAGCCGGGTTTACTATCAGAGGAAGCAGTGGACAAAGGTATTGCATGATTGGCTCATGCTGTTAAATATTGCATAGATAGCCTCTTTCGTTTAGTCCCACATCGGGTAGAGTAATAGAACAATGCTACTCACATTGTATATATAGACCACAATATCAATGGAATACAAATATCATTTTTCTCTTGATTTACTCTATTTCTGACATGGTATCAGAGCCATTCAATCAATTCTTTCCTCAAATCCCAACCCCACAAATCTAATCCACACCATAGTGCATTAGATCTGCACCAACGTGCATCAGATCTGCACCACCATGAACTAGATCCACACGACGTGCACCAGATCTGCACCAAAGCTCAACAGAGCCAAAGCTGTACCACGTGCATAAGAT